GTTTCCAGTTTCATCCATGTCCCTGTAAAGGACATGAACTCACCTTTTTTTATGGCCGCATGTGGCATTATTAATAAAGCACTTTTGGTGGGGTGAGGTGGCTCACACCTGTAATCCCAGCACTTTCGCAGGCTGGGGCAGGAGGATTGCTTGAGCCTAGGAGTTCAAGACTAGCCTGGGCAACATAGCGAGACCCCGTCTGTACAAATAAATAAATATAAATAAAGCACTTTTGGTAAAATGTGCTTTAACATCATGGCCAATTTCCAGTTTGTTTACTGTCTCCCCTAAGAAATTTCAGCCAAATTATGTTCTTTGAAACAGCTGGCACTTCATTGCTGGGTAAAGCCTTTTCTTTATTCATTTGTGTGTGTGTGTGTGTGTGTGTGTGTGTGTGTGTGTGTGTGTATGTATTTTTTTTTAAAAGAAACTGCTGTTTTTAAGATGATAGTTATATAATTGACGTAAAATTTCAGTAGACTGAAACTTCCTACATAGTATGCTGGCTCTATATGTAACTTTGAAGGAAGGAGGAATAAGCAAAGAAACCTTTCACTCAACTGTGGTAGTTTTATGAACCTCGGTCAAACAACTCGGGTTTCAATCTAGGCTTTAATATTAATTGTGTGACTGGATTTCTACCTTCCTCACCAGTTGCATAGGGTTGTTTGATGAGCAAATTAAAGTGTTTATAGGAAAATATTCTGAGCACAGTAAAGCACTGCACAAGTGACAGATAATGAAAGACACAGCTTTTACTGAGTTTCCAACACCAGAAACTACCAATGGTAACAAAAAAAAAAAAAAAAAAAAAAATTGGCAGCAATAAATTACAAGCCACCATTTATTCTTTAACAGTAATGGCCACTATTTACTGAGCACTTACTGTGTGTCAGCCACTGTGATAATGGCTTTACCATTTAATCTTCTCAACAATGAGAATTAAAACCATTTAATCTTCTCAACAATGCTTTTGAAAGAAAAGAAAAAAAAAAAAAACCCTGAATATCATGCTGGCAAGCATTGCCAATATAACCAATAAAACAGATAACTTATGAAACATATACTAAACTTAAAAATGTAACCCTAGTATAAAATTATTTTATTTACAATATAGATGATTCCTGGGATGATTTTTCAAGTATTGAATATATATAAATTTAACGATCCTGCCCTTTTATGTAAGCGCACTTGTGAAGTGCTTTACTGTATTGAGAGTGCTTTCCTCTGTATCCTTCTATTTGCTCATCAAACCATCCCCTGTATGGCTGGTGAGGAAGATGGTCCGCTAGTCAACGAATTAATGTTACAGCCTAGATTGAAACCTGGGTTGTGTGATTACTGGTTGATCTTTTCACTCCTTTGTCTTTAATAAAGAGGTTTGTAAAACTGTACTAGTTGAATGAAAGGTTTTTTTGCTTATTTCTCTTTCCTTCAAGGTTAGATATAGGGCCAACATACTTGGTAGAAAGATTATCATTCTGTGGAATATCAAGCTTTCATTCAAGGATTTGGTGAAACCTTAGTCTTTTTTTCTTTAAGTTATGTTTTCCTTAAATCTTTATAGCTTGGAATAATTACTTATTTAACAAATATTTGTTGAACACCTACAGTTTTTTGTTTATTGGCTTTCATGGTTGTTAAAACGGTACCTTTTGTTACATGAGCTGTGATTTATAATCATGTTTTAAAAGATTCCGTATGTACTTCATTCATTACTGAGAAGTTTAGAGCTATAAGGAACCTTTCAAGTGTTTCTGGAGTGTTTAGTCACATCCTGAGCCAGACAAGTTTTTATTACTTGAAACCTTAATGATAGACAGATAAGGGCATCTTCAGAGGGAAGATCTTGAGAGATTTGGAGTAGAGAGGCTTGTATTAAACTTTTGAAATGAACTGAGACTGCTATTGTTTTCAAAACCTTCTTGTCGGGATTTTCAGCTAAGTTTGGAGGATTCTTAATTGTGGAACTTGGGGAACTAACATAATATTTAGCAGTCTGCTGGTTGAGGTCTTTTCTATTTGTTGGAACTCACGGCTCCAGCCTCGTATCCTCTTGATAGATAAGAAAACAGGCCAGAAGTATTGTGACTTGGGTCAATAGTTGATCAGTGTGAGATTTAGAAATCTGAATTTCCAGTCCCTTAAAAAAAATTTTTTTTAAGAGACAGAGTCTTGCTCTGTCACCCAGGCCAGAGGGCAGTGGTACGATCATAGCTTACTGTAACTTCAAACTCCTGGGCTCAAACCTCAGCCTCCCGAGTAGCTAGGACTACAGGCGTGCTCCATCACACCCAGGTAATTTAAAAATTTTTTGTAGAGATGAGGTGTTGCTATGTTGCCCATCCTGCTCTCAAACTTTGCCTCAAGCACCCCTCCTGCCTCAGCCTCCCAAAGTATTGAGATTACGGGTGTGAGCCACCATGCCCAGCCTGCAGTCCCTTTTTATAACCTTGCTGTGGTAGCATTTAATTAAATTTGCTAGCAAGTAACTTCTTAAGGATTTCTTCTTCTTATTTTCCCTATACCTAAATCTGGTGGTATACCTCTTGACAGTTTCTAACATTAGACCTACTACTTATAAATAATATAAGAACTTAAAAACAAGAACTAAATGTCAAAAATCTAGGCTAATCGTATGGTGAATAAAGAGGAAAATGACTGTCTTTTTTCCTATATTTACTAATATTTTTGAAGTACAAATGTTAACAAACTTAATTTTTATGTCTTTTATAACAACTTTTATTTTGCTGTATATCCTCACTTCTTTGATACTATAGTGTTTCTCAGGAGAAATACCAGTAAGTATATTTCTCTCTTTTATTTGTGATACAAATATTAAGAATCACTGATAGTAATATAATCACTTTGATTATATGTGAATGTGTGAATGACTGGGTGTGTGTGTATGATGTAAAGTTTGTATAGCTCCCTGACAATTTTTAGACATGTGAATTAAACCATTTCATCTTTACGTGTTTTATAGTCTGATCAGGGTTCCTTTGCACAACATTACACTTTACTTTTATAGAATATACTAGGGACAGTCAACCCAGAATGGCAGCAAGTAGGTGATTTTTATGCCAGGGAGGTAGTTGCTCAACAGGTAAAGCTCTTGGTGCATTCGTGGAATAGGCAAAGTGATTTTGGGCTTCTTTCTTCTTTGTTTCATCCATTTTTGCTATTTATCTTTTGTCCACCTAGAGCCCAAAGTCTCTGCACTAATATTTATTTCTAGCCTACCTTCTAAAATGTTATAATTGCTTCATTTTTATTTACTTCACCAACAGTTCTTCCTTTACTAGAATATCTTTTATGTTTTATGTAAGTCTGAATAAAGTAATTTTTCTAAATGCTAATGTAAAGCATTCTATTTGCTCATCAAACCGTCCCCTGTATGGCTGGTGAGGAAGATGGTCCGCTAGTCAACGAATTAATGTTACAGCCTAGATTGAAACCTGGGTTGTGTGATTACTGGTTGATCTTTTCACTCCTTTGTCTTTAATAAAGAGGTTTATAAAACTGTACTAGTTGAATGAAAGGTTTTTTTGCTTACTTCTCTTTCCTTCAAGGTTAGATATAGGGCCAACATACTTGGTAGAAAGATTATCATTCTGTGTGTGATGGGGGGTGTGGGGGGATGGAGTTTTATTTTTTCCTTAAGATAATAATTCTTTTTCTCATGATTATTGAAGTATTATATATACATTAAAGATTTAAGGAAGTATAAGGAGGAAGATAGTAATGATTATCTTCATATTATCATTCCAGTCAGAAGTTAGCTACTTCTAAAATGTTGTGTTTCCACTCTGTAGTTTTGCGTAGATATTAACATTTAAAAGTGAAACTTGAGGTATCTCTCATTGGAAGAATGGGAAAAAAGTAGACTTTTTACCATTTTAGGGCCCTCTCATGACCATTCTCACCTCCTGTTGGTCCTCTAAGTCTCTGAGAAGTCCTCCAGTCTCTGAGAAGGCTCCAGTTTGTTTTGTCTTATTTAATTGAGCAGTTCTGAGTCTTATTTTTACCAGGGAACTTTGTTTTTTAATTTTAGTATAGATCATGTGGAGATGTGCTGTTATGTAGGAGTTTGCTATCAAAGTGTGGTCCACAGACCAGTGGCGTTAGCATCACCTGGGAGCTTGTTAGAAATGTACAATCTCAAGCCTCACTGAGGACTTACTGCCTCAGAACCTGCACTTTCATAGGATCTTTAGGTTATTTATATGCACATTGAAGTTTGAGAAACACTGCTCTTTTTTTTCCAGATAAGATAGGTGGACAGGGGTCTGAGGTATTCATCCCACTTCGAGCTGCTTTTTCCAAAGAGCTTTTCTCTCACGTTTTTGTGTGTGCATGTGTGTGTGCAGGCAGGGTTGTATGTATAGGCATGTGCCTGGGCATGCATATGTGTATAGGAATGTGGGTATGTGGGCATCTCTCTGTGTCTATATCCCTGGTCCCCCTAGTCTGTTCAGCAGATACTTCTCTGAATGAGCTTAATGAACTCTCATGTCCAAAAATGCTTTCTCTGTTATACCTCCTATCTCTTACCGCTGCTCCCAATATCCGTACACAGCTGTACATTCCTTCAACCATACAGCTCATCGAAGGACATCTTTGGGAAGCCTCCTGTGAAAGAGAAAGCTTCAGGAAATAAGAGGGTAAAGAGGAGAGAGGTTTGCCTGTTAGAATCAAGTAACAAGCGGCCGGGCGCGGTGGCTCAAGCCTGTAATCCCAGCACTTTGGGAGGCTGAGACGGGCGGATCACGAGGTCAGGAGTTCGAGACCATCCTGGCTAACACGGTGAAACCCCATCTCTACTAAAAAATACAAAAAAAAACTAGCCGGGCGAGGTGGTGGGCACCTGTAGTCCCAGCTACTCGGGAGGCTGAGGCAGGAGAATGGCGTAAAAACCCGGGAGGCGGAGCTTGCAATGAGCTGAGATCCGGCCACTGCACTCCAGCCTGGGCGACACAGCGAGACTCCGTCTCAAAAAAAAAAAAAAAAAAAACAAGCTTTTTGGGGTAGAAGAGACCTGACTTTCCCTCAGGAGGGCCCAGTGGTTTCAAATTGTGTTGACTGGATCCCTGTGGTTTCGTGGAATTGGCTCAGTGGGAGCAAGCAAGTGGGGCTCTGTGGTTGCCCACTTCACTTCATCCAGATCATTTCTACTATTACATATTTTATTAGGATTTCTCTTAATTTTTATTTTATGTGTTTTGCAAAACATTTTTTGTGGAAAATCACTGCCCTGTTTTACCACTCAAATTCTGTTCATCTCAGGCTAAGTTAATTGTGACTGGACTACCTACCCTCACATTTCAAAAAGAAGAGCTATTAGTGAGTTTTGTAGGGTGGCAGGAGAGATTTGAAGCTTTCTTTCTTGAAAGCCCTTTCTCTTTCCCTCCTTCCCTATATCTTTCCTTTTCTCCCCCCACTCATCTTCTTAGACACATTTGTTCTGTTTAAGGACCAAAATTAGTAAGGCTCAGAGCTGCATAATCGACTGATTAAATTAGTAATGAGCACTATAACTTACAGATGAAACATTTGTTAAATTCATAATGCTATCAAATAATACATTTTGATAACATTTAATAAGATTATTTTGGGAGACAACCATAATCCCAAAAGATACGGTCCTGAATGCCATAATCTCAAATGTTGAAATCCTGAAAAATCAACATCCTTAAAGTCTAAAATCCCCCAAATCACAATCCTAAAAGGTCAAAATCCCAAAAATGTATTCTGGAAAAAATAATACATTTTTTAAAAGACACATAGATTTTAAAAAGGGGATTTATTTGAGAAACAGATAAAAACAGAAAAATTCATAGGCCATTTTACGCAGTAAAATAGGCAATAACATTTTTGCAAGCATAGATACTCAGGTATACTAACAGTCATGCAGATACAACAGTTAAAAGCAGACAAACCATATTCATAAGTCAAAAAGGGAAATGTATAAACGCATATCACTGTGGTTGGTAATTGTGTGCACCCAGCTTTATAACTGCAGTAATCTGAAATACCGTGAAATACCTAAGCCTTGATGAGATCGATAATCATCAGTGTGTGTGTGTGTGTGTGTGTGTGTGTGTGTGTGTGTTTCCTAGTGGCCTGATGTAGACGGTCACATAAAAATTTGGACCTTACCAGTAAGTTTTAACGTCTAGAAAGTACTCTGGTAGTGTAATAGGAGTAAGCAGTATATATAGACTTAAGAATTAAGCAGGTAAAAGCAGAATTTTTTACTGTTTTCCATAGTTAAAGAATACATCTGTTTTCAGGGTTGGGATTGTCTGAGCATGGTCGTGGTCTGTTTTAGGCCACTGTGCCCTTTTATATATTATGCTGTTTCTTCGGCCCTCCACTTCCCCATCCTCCACAATTTCATGGTCTTTATGATCATTCAGGCTTCATCTCTGAAGGCTAAGCATTCCCTTGTCTCTAGGTCAGAATGAATGTCCTCTCAATTACTCTTAAAGCATTCTATGCTAAAAGTGATGATGTGTTTACACAGTGTATTGAAAATATTTTGTATTTGTTTCTTTCCTTCCTGAGGGCCATACCATTGGTCCATTATCACATTTCAGTTTAAATCCCCTCCTTGACATTCATATTCATGTGGTTTTTTGGTCGTACTTAAATATAAGTGATGAAATGAATTTAGCACATTTCTTAGTTAATAATAAGGATAATTGTAATAATATTTTAAAAATTCTCAATGCCTATCACAATGCCTTGTGTAGGTACTGATAATACTTAAATGAACTGCGAAAGGCCCTTTGCTATATATCTGATTCTGTTGCTGCTTTAAACTACTTTCCACTTCTTGTTTTTTTAAGGAATATTTATGTAATTTCATAATTTTGTGAGTTAGTTGGAATATGTTTAATTATACCTATTTTACTGGATAGAAGAACTTACGTCAGTCTGAGCTACCTGCATGTTCAATTATCAGCAGTTTTAAAAATGTTTTCTTTTACCGTCAATATAATGCATGATGGAAACCACAGCCGATAGATTTTATTCTCTCTTGTGTCATGCTTGCTTGCTTGCTGAATCTTAACTAGAGGCAGAGAAACCATTTAGTGGCAGCCATTTTAATAGTCTAGGCACGAGGCACTAATGTCCTGAACAAGGGGAATGCCAGATAGGAGAGAGAAATGAATGTATAGATGTGTTTAGGAGAGATCTGTAGGACTTGATGGTTGATTGGATATGGTTGTGGGAGGGAGGAAGTTGGGTTGTAGTGAAGGGGAGGTATCAAGGATGAATCTCAGGATTCTGGCTTAAGCAGTTGAGTGAGTGGTGTGTGTTCTCACTGAGATAGCAAATAGGAAGACAGGTTTAGGGGAAGGTAATAGTTTACCTATAGATTGGTTGAATTTGGGGTGCCTGGGGAAAATCTGAGAGGGAAGATCTGTGAAGCAGTTTGGATATGTTGGGTAAGGCTTAGGAAGGAGGAAAGGGCTGTAAATACATATTTGATAGTCATTAGTACACATGATTTGAGTTGAAGCTGTAGGAGCGGGTAAGACAGATGAGGGAGGGAATAGATTGCATACCATGAGAAAAGAGACCTAGGAGAGACTTTTGAGGAACATCTTTATTTTTTTACAGTGGTAGGAGAAGAGCATCCCACAAAGAAGAAGAAAGAAATGGAGAAGGAAAAGAAAATTAATAGGGAGTAAGAAACCCGGGAGAGTGTAACAATACAGAAACAGAAGGAAGAGGATGTTTTCAAAAAGACGGGGGTGTGTTTAGCCACGTCCAATGGCTTTTACTTTCATCAGACAGAATCTTAATTTTTCTCTCAAGTTCCATGTAATATTTGTTTTAGTAAGTCTGGCATTTAGATTTGTATTTTTAAGTTGTAACAAGATAATAATTCTGCATAGTGCTTGTCCTCAGCTTTTCATGTTACAATAATTCTGATTTATATTTATAGGCTAAATAAAGGAGGTTAATGTTGTTAGATAGGAAGATGAGTAAAATTATGTTAGTAACTAACTTTGTTTCCCGAGGATATAATTATCTAGTAATATCTTATCTTAAGTCTATGCCTCTAACGATCACTTTAGATTATAGCTGCAAAATGTGATAGAATTAACAACAACAAAAATCCCAAAACATTGGGTCCTTCTTGGTGTCAAGAATTTAAGTGGTAAGTAAATGTACAGTAACTTTATTTATTTTTTGAGAGGGAATCTCGCTCTGTAGCCTAGGCTGCTGGAGTGCAGTGGCGCGATCTTGGCTCACTGCAACCTCTGCCTCCTGGTTTCAAGTGATTCTCCTGCTTCAGCCTCCGAAGTAGTTAGGACTACAGGCGCCACCATGCCTGGCTAATTTTTTTTAGGTGTTTTTAGTAGAGACAAGGTTTTTCACCATGTTGGCCAGGCTGTCTTGAACTCCTGACCTCAGGTGATCCGCCCGCCTCAGCCTCCCAAAGTGCTAGGATGGTATGAGCCACTGCGCCCGGCCACTGTATGGTAGCTTTGAAAACTCCTGGGAGATTGCATACTTAATTGTGAGGGAATATGTGTAGTTTCAAGAAACCCTTATTTTCTGTTTTTAGGAGGAATGAATCATAGCACTCTTTAATGATTGATTAACCAAGCAAATCATAGAACTTCTTTTAAAACTTCATTTGTTCTATAAAGTAACAGCTATCTGTGAAGTACACTGGATTTTTTTTTCTTTTTTTATTTCAATTTTTTATAGATATGAGGATTCACTATGTTGCCTAGGCTGGTCTCGAACTCCTGGGCTCTTGCGATCCTCCCACCTCAGCCTCCCAAAATGCTGGAATTACAGGTGTTAGCCATTGCACCCAGCCTACAGTGGATTTCATATGATTTACAATGCCTAAAGATTCAGGTTTTAGGAGTGCTGAATAGCAAAGTTATTTAGAACATAGGCAAAATAAGAAAGGAATACTCTTTCTTATTCTAGAGTCTATAGAGTCTAGAAAGACTCTAGAACTAAAAATCAGTGAGTGGCTTTTGAATTTCACAAATATTTTAATTAACCATTAAACATTAAAATGCTATTTTGAGGCAGGTGTTGGGCTAGGTAATGGAGTTACAAAGGAGAACAAGACACATCCTTACCCTCATGAAGTTTGTTTATTTATTAATTTAATTTATTTATTTAAGATGGAGGAGTCATGCTCTGTTGCCCAGGCTGCAGTGCATTGGTGCCATCTCAGCTCACTGCAACCTCTGCCTCCCAGGTTCAAACGATTCTCCTGCCTCAGCTTCCTGAGTAGCTGGGACTGCAGGCGCCAGCCACCACACCTGGTTGATTTTTGTATTTTTAGTAGGGAAGGGGTTTTACCATGTTGGCCAGGCTGGTCTCGAACTCTCGACCTCAAGTGATCCACCCGCCTCAGCCTCCCAAAGTGCTGGAATTACAGGCGTGAGCCACTGTGCCCGGCCAGCCCTCATGGAATTTAAGTTGCAAACAAAAAATACAAAAAGAAAAAATCATTGCAAACTGTGGCAATGACAGGAATTACTTGAAATAGGTGAAGAGGAGAGGCTTCTGTGAGTGGGTGGCATTTAATCAGCAGATGGATAAGAGGAGACTGGGCATGGCGGCTCACACCTGTAATCCCAGCACTTTGGGAGGCTGAGGCCATTGGAACACTTGAGCTCAGGAGTTCGAGACCAGCCTGGGCAACGTGGCAAAACCCTGTCTCTACAAAAAGTACAAAAATTAGCCGGGCATGGTAGCATGCGCCTGGTTTCCCAGCTACTTGGAAGGCTGAGTTAAGAGAATGGCTTGAGCCCAATAAGGGGAGGTTGCAGTGAGCTGAGATTGTGCCACTGCACTCCAGCCTGGGCAAAAGCCAAACCCTATCTCAAAAAAAGGGATAAGAGGAGGTATTTGTGAAAGAGTTATGGTTAACAGCAAGTTGGAAGCCGTTTGGTTAGTTTGTTTTACCTTGAGCAAAGACTAGTGCATAGTGAGGCAGAGGGTGAGTGGCATCAGATGAAGGTGAACAACTGAGTAAAATGCCAGATCACAATTTAGTCGTAAATGATGTGACATTGAGATTTTATTGAAAGTGTAACGAGAAGCCATTTAATGAATTTAAGTGTAGAAATGCTGTGTGGCTTCTGTAAGGAGAATGGACTGGCAGCCTGCAGTAATGTATAAATAGAAAGACTAATTGGGCTATTCTTCTAGTTAGGTGAAAGATAATGGGGCATTAATATTTTGAGATTAGATAAAAGAAAATGAGTTTCTTCCTTACTGTTACTAATACTTTTATGTTTCCATAAAAAGGTCATTAATATACACACAATGAAGACTTTTTAAGGTATAGCATTTCAGTACTCATGGTTTTATATGTACTTTTAAAATAATAATGAAATTAACTATATTAAAGCAGAACGATTTGCATGAATATGTTGAAATGTAAAAGAGGAATTTCTATTTTAAAAAGTTATTTATTCAATGGAAATAAAAAAGGATGACTTTCCCTAAGGAAGGAAAATGAGACATTTGGAGCCACTCAAGTTGGCTTGACACAATTGAAATTTGTGATGTTAGAAAAATTTGTTATTGTTTTATAAAATCAGTTTTATACAGAAATTATTCACTTTAGAGATGGCTATTAAGAATTGACTTGAAAAGTAATGTAAGGCTTCAAAATCTGGTCAGATTAATTTAAATAATATAATAGAATTTTGTTCTTTTTCCCACCTTTTCTCTCAGAAGCCTGCAGTCATCTTAGGGCTCAACTGAGGAAAGATCCATTTGCAAGTTCACTCATGTGGTTGTCAGCAGACCTTAGAATACCTGCTTCCACATTAACTCACAGGTCTGTTGTCAGGCCTCAGGCATCTGGCTGTTGGCCAGAGACATCAGTTTATTGCTATGTGGGCTTGTCTTTTCTATAGGCTCAGAACGTGACAGCTTGTTCACCCCAAAGCAAGATGTCTGGACAGTGAGAGAAAGGCCCGCCTTGGACTCCCAGAGTGCTGGGATTACAGGCGTGAGCCACAGTGCCAAGCCTCTTAATGACATCTTTTATATTAGCTTATACCATTAGGATAAAATATTCGCATTATTGCTCCTTGATCTGTTTTATCACTATAAACATATAAGACCTTTGTGCTATGTACTTACTCCAGTGACTAGGAGTCTAGTAAACTAGTAAAGTTACTTAGATGACCCTTTTCTGATATTTATTCCAATTAGAAATGGAGGTCTGTGTAGTACCCCTGTTTGAATGGGTCATTTAAAAGTGAATGAATTTATTACTGTTATACTTAATTCAAATTTATAGAAAAATGCTTGCATTTACCCAAGGCAATTTGTATCTTAAATTTAAGTAAGAATCTAGCACAGATCTTGACAATCTTGACAGGTGTGTTGTCAACCCTAACAAATACAAATATGACCTCATAACAGGATTGAAATATAAGATTTTCATTAGAATTACATTTTGAATTTGATTTTGTAGAATGATTTTACAGACCATTTTATCCCTTTTTGTTTTGTTTTGTTTTTGTTTTCTTTCATTTATTCAGTGGTCAGTTACCAGACTATTCTTAAAGGAAAAGCTATACACTTTCATTGTTTCCATAGAATGAAGAATCATGAAATCGTAAGTTTCTTGAAGGAAGGAGGTGATTATTTAGAAGCATGATGGTAAAGGGTATTAAAATATATCTGTATCTAGTACCTGCTAGTGTAGTTACTAGTGTTAGAAGTCATCACTGCTGTGGCACATTAAAATGAATATGATGAATATATATTGATTAATATGTATTCAGTTAAAGGTAATATAATATCTTCATGTGAGCTTGAAGAAATTTCTTTTGGAGGGATTTTTTTCTTTTGACTAGAAATAGTTTTTATATCAATGTTGGCCATTTTTAGGCAATTATTTTAAAAGTTTATTTAAAAATTTGCTATATTTCTTTTGTACAAGTATTTAAAATTAACGTTATTAATATCAATGTCTGGCATACGTTTATGTGTTTGTGGTTGGTGTGTTAATAGGTGACACATGGTTAAAGACTTTTTTTTTTTTTTGAGATGAAATCTTGCTGTGTTTCCCAAGCACGATCTTGGCTCATTGCAACCTCCGCCTCCTGGGTTCAAGCTATTCTCCTGCCTCAGCCTCCTGAGTAGCTGGGATTTTAGGCACCTGCCACTACGCCCGGCTAATTTTTGTATTTTTAGTAGAGATGGGGTTTCACCATGTTAGTCAGGCTAGTCTCGAACTCCTAACCTCAGGTGATCCACCCGCCTTGGCCTCCAAAAGTGCTGGGATTACAGGCATGAGCCACGGCGCCCGGACGACTTTTTTTTTTTTTTTTTTTTTTTTGGAGACAGAGTCTCCCTCTGTTGCCCAGGCTGAAGTGCAATGACATGACTTGGCTCGTTGCAACCTCCATGTCCTGAGTTCAAGCAATTCTTCTGCCTCAGCCTTCCGAGTAGCTGGGATTACAGGCGCATGCCACCACGCCTGGCTGCTTTTTGTATTTCTAGTAGAGATGGGGTTTTACCATGTTGGTCAGGCTGGTCTCGAACTCCCAACCTCAGGTGATCCATCCACCTTGGCCTCCAAAAGTGCTGGGATTACAGGCATGAGCCACGGCGCCCGGACGACTTTCTTTTTTCTTTTCTTTTTTTTTGAGACAGAGTCTCGCTCTGTCATCCAGGCTAAAGTGAAGTGGCACGATCTCCGCTCACTGCAACCTCTGCTTCCCAGGTTCAAGCAGTTCTCGTGCCTCAGCCTCCCAAGTAGCTGGGATTACAGTCGTGCACCACCCTGTCCATCTAATTTTAGTATTTTCAGTACAGATGAGGTTTTGCCATATTGGCCAGGTTGGTCTCGAACTCCAGATCTCAGGTGATCTTCTTGCCTCAGCCTCCCAAAGTGCTGGGATTATAGGCATGAGCCACCACGCCTGGCCTGGTTAAGACTTGAGTGATAAAATGGGAATTGTATCGATGCATTTTATCTGAATTCTAACATATTGTTAGTCCACCGTAGTGGCTTCCATACCAAAAATCTAGTGAATGTTAATGACAATGGCTAGTTAAGAAATGATAGATTTTGACCAACTATTCTTGTACTAATATAAAATATAATGATCTTGTTTTAGCAAAATGAAATAGCCTGGTGGCTGATATTTTTGTATATTAAAATATAGCAGCCATTATAGTAGATGTTTTAAAATGAAACCATTCTAATGATTTTCTTTTCCTTATGTTTCTGATAATGTCAGAAGTTTCCCCTGACATATTTAGCAAATTGTTTCCATATTTACTTTGATATATGCATATATAGTTATCTAGTGAATTTACGCTTTCCCCTGTAGTTCTACGTTTAATTATAATATCAAATAAAATGAAATAATCTTCTTATTCTGATAGAGAAGAAAAAGCTGGATCACTTACCAGTAACTGGAGTTCTCCTATTGGGTAATCTCCACAGATCCACATTGTTTGAAGTTATTGTGAGTGCCTCGAAGACCAAGGAACCGTTGAAATTTCCAATTTCAGGAAGGTAAGCAAGTGCACTGAAGCATGTCTCTAGCATCTCCCAAATCCCCTCCCCCAAACTTTCTTACATATACGTCTGTACTGCATGCCCCCTCAGTTCCAGTGGATGCCCATCAGGAAGATTCTCATGCTGGACAGAAGGGCAAGAGAGGTGGATCTGTGAGGGAAAAGACCCAATAGGATAACTCAAGTTACTGGTAAGTAATCTAGTTTTCACAAACTTGAGATTTTTTTTTCCCCCAAATTTTGTCCCTTGAGAAGGAATTTAATTGAAAAGAAAGGAAGTTATTTGGGATAGCTTCTTTTTGTATGTTTGATGTGGATTAACAAAAGTATTGTATGGACAGTAAATACTGAGCTATTAATGGGTGTATGAGTAAAAAGTATGACATTAATTTTAAAGTATCTTATTTACATAATAGCTGCTTCTAAAAGATTATACATTTACTCGGCCGGGGTTGGTGACTCACGCTTATAATCCCAGTACTTTCGGAGGCCAAGGTGGGTGGATCACCTGAGGTCGGGAGTTCAAGAACAGCCTGACTAACATGGAGAAACTCTGTCTCTACAAAAAATAGAAAATTAGCCGGGCATGGTGGTGCATGCCTGTAATCCCAGCTGCTTGGGAGGCTGAGGCAGGAGAATTGCTTGAACCTGGGAGGCGGAGGTTGTGGTGGGCTGAGCTTGTGCCATTGCACTCCGGCCTGGACAACAAGAGTAAAACTCCGTCTCAAAAAAATTTACACATTTACTGCCTTTTGGTAAATGGTGTAGTTGTTCTGAAGCAATATAGGGAAGCTAAACGTTGAATTCTTTTATACATTTCTTTATGATATTGCTTTTTTGAAGTAAATATTTATACGGTAAAATTTATGGAGATGTCATATTTGGTGAATTTCTTTTGGCACAGTAGTACTAACCAGCAAGGATAGTTTAATTGACTAGCACTTTTTTTTTTCTTTCGAGACAAATCTGGCTCTATCGCCCAGGCTAGAGTGCAGTGGTGTGATCTTGGCCTACTGCAACTTCTACCTCCTGGGCATAAGCCAGCCTCCTACTTCAGCCTCCTAAGTAGCTGGGACTACAGTTGCACACCACCATGCTCAGCTAATTTTTTTATTTTTTATAGAGATGGGGTGTTGCCATGTTGCCCAGGCTGGTCTGGAACTCATGAGCTCAAATGATCTGCCCACCTTGGCCTCCCAAAGTGTTGGGATCACAGGTGTGAGCCACCACTCCTGGCCTGACTAGCACTATTTTTTTTTTTTTTTGACTGGCACTTCTTAATGACAGTTTTCAATATATCTTGAACTTCATTGAAAAATATATTTGAAAAATAATATAGGATATGTTGCAGTTATATTTACCACTTCCTTATTTGTAATGAAAAGACTTGATGTGAAGTGTAGCAGAATTGGTTCAGTTTGAGCTCTCTGATTTCCTCAGGTACCAAATAACTTACTGAATTGATATTTGTAAATGTTACTATATAATTAGTTTCTTGCTTCTCATTTTTCTCCCACTCATTTTGCATTATTACTAGGTTACTGTTTCTAAAAAGGCATTTTAAATATAAAGAGCTTGTAGTGGTGTCCTGCTTATAGCTGTTTTACAAAACTTTCATCCGTTTTCTGGATACTTGAGGCCTGCTACTATACCAATTCCATCCTGTTTATCCAGCCTTAATTTCTTCAGTTTGAAACTTTTGTTTGTTCTTACCTGGATAGTTATATTTACACTTGGTTTGTGGTTTCTGACTTTCTTCAGGTAAACTTCTCTCGGTTCTGATTTCAGTACTTTAAAGTTGAGGCAAGTCTTACCCCTTTTATCAGTCCTTTTATGCTAGTATCTTTGTTATCTCCAATTCTTCAATAGAAAAGTGGGATATCTGTAAGATTGTATTAATTCATGGAATTTTCTTAATACAGTGCCTTAGCAGCACCCAGTTAATACCCTTATTGGCTAGTATTTGGCTGTAGATTGATCTTAAATGTTTTTGTGGTTATGGTTAGCTGAATGATACAGTTTAGCCATTAAATATTAGCTTTAGGTTGTATTGCCATTTTTTAATTTAAATTTAAATTTAATTTAATTTTTATTTTTTATTTTTTGAGACAGTCTCACTCTGTCGCCCAGGCTAGAGTGCAGTGGCGTGATCTCTGCTCACAATTGCTCCCGGGTTCAAGCAGTTCCCTTGCCTCAGCCTCCCAAGTAGCTGGGATTACAAGCATCTGCCCCCACACCTGCCTAACTTTTTTGTATTTTTAGTAGAGACAGGATTTCACCATGTTGGCCAGGTTTTGAACTTCTGACCTCAAGTGATCTGCCCGCCTTGGCCTCCCAAAGTGCTAGGATTACAGGCATGAGCCACAACGCCTGGCCATATTGCTATTTTAAAAAAATATACAGCACTTAAAAAAAAAATTATTATTTTATTTTTTACAGAGGTATGTTGTATAATAAACATATGCAACTCTTAAACTGAGTTTTTAGGTCCTTTGAGAGCAAACATAGTTTGCCTTTTTTTAAAGATTTTTTTAAAGATGTTTATGGTTTATCTTACTAGTTCCTAACATCAGTGACTGAGATTAAATCATCCCCACTGAAACATTAGCTTTTCTTATAGATTCATGAATACACCTACCAGTTTTTTGTTTATTTGTTTTGTTTTGTTTGTTCGAGACGGAGTCTCGCTCTGTCGCCCAGGCTGGAGTGCAGTGGCGTGATCTTGGCTCACTGCAAGCTGTGCCTCCTGGGTTCATGCCATTCTCCTGCCTCAGCCTCCCAAGTAGCTGGGACTACAGGCACCCGCCACCACGCCCAGCTAATTTTTGTAATTTTAGTAGAGACGGGGTTTCACCGTGTTAGCCAGGATGGTCTTGATCTCCTGACCTTGTGATCCGCCTGCCTCGGCCTCCCAAAGTGCTGGGATTACAGGTGTGAGCCACTGCGCCAGGCCTACACTTACCAGGTTTTAAATCGTGAAGCAGATTCATTTGCCTCATCAATCTATTTGTACTGTATTTTTTTCTAAAAACAATTTTTCCCTTAAAAACTGGGAAAGTGAAATTCTAATTATTTAATATGATAATTTATCTGTGGCATATTAGATATGAGAGTATCTAGTGGCTTTCCGTTTTGAGAGTATAGAGTGGCTTCCGTTAAAGATTTAGTGTTAGAAACAAACTGGAAATACAGTATCCTTGATTTTTGCAGTTTGAATATCTTAGATTAATGCTTTTTCAGAAATGAAGGAAGGAATGCTCTTTGACAGATGCCTCTTCTAAATAATCATCAGAAAGCAGTTTGTCCAATCATTAGACAAGCCAAGATAAAGAAACATTTAGTCAGATGACTTAAATACTAGTTTTGAATCTACTGCATGTCTTTGTACAATTCTGTTCAATCTCATAGTTTCTTTGGTGTGAATGATATGGTCATTATATTGAGAGTGTTATTGAAATATGGAGAAATATATTTGAAAATATTCCAAGTGAAGTATCATGTTGGGCTCAGGAGTGGGTTCAGGAAAAAAAAAATGTGTGGAAATTTGGTATGTGTGGTGTGCATGTATATGGAGAGGAGAGAAAAAAAGGTAAAGCAAAAGTTGTAAATGTTAACAATTTTGAATCTAGGTAGAAGGTATATGGGTCACTGTACTTTCAACTTTTCTATGGCTTTGAATTTTAAAAAAAGTTGGGAGAAAATGTTTTAAAAAGAACTTTGTGCTTCAGTTTCTCTAATTCTAAAAATGGGAATAATAGAAACTTTCATGCCTTGAAGCAGGTAGGCACAGTGGGATAACATTTGGCAGAAGAGCAGCCAAGAGAATTCCTAAAAAGTGATTTTTTTTTTTTTTTGGTCATTAAAGAAGAGCTTTATAATGGAGAACTTTTCAAGAACATTTTGCCTAAGGTGTTTTAGCTTAAAATTTGTCAGTTACTTTTTTTTTTTTTTTTTTTTTAAAATACAGAGTCTTACTCTGTCACCCAGCCTGGAGTGCAGTGCGTGATCTTGGCTCACTGCAACCTCTGCCTCCTGGGTTCAAGCGATTCTCCAGTCTCAGCCTGGTAGGTCTACAGGTGCGCATCACCGCGTCCGTTAATTTTTGTATTTTTAGTAGAAATGGGTTTCGCCATGTTGGCCAGGCTGGTCTCGAACTCCTGACTTCAGGTGATCTGCCCTCCTCAGCCTCCCAAAGTGCTGGGATTACAGGTGTGAGTCACTGCACCCGGCCAGACATTACTTTTTTTTTTTTTTAAGAGCATATTGCATTATAATTGAACAAAAACGGTTACTTCAGAAACAATAAATATTTATGTAAAATAACCAATTAAAATCTCGAAAAATGTGGCTTGTAATAAAATAACTCAATAAATGGGTAAAACAATAGAAGATTTGACACAGCTAAAGAGAGAAGTTACTAATTTGAAGAAAGAAATGAGTACTTCTCCGGACAAGCACAGAGAAATGCAGAGAAATGAAGAGGTGAAAAATATGGAAGAAAAGATGACAGAGGATAGATTGAGCAGTTCCCATATAGATCTAATTGGAGTTTTAGAAGAGCGCATACACAAAATAGTGGAGAAGCAATTTTAAAGGAAAAATGATTAAGAATTTTCAAGAATTAAAATACAAAATGGAAATTACAAAATGATTAGAACTAAATCACAACAAAAGTATTGTATCAAAATTTGAGGGATGCACAAAAAATGGTACTTGGGGATAAAGCTGTCATCTTTAATGAATGTATAAGATTGAAAGATTGGAAATAAATGAGCCAGCTGTTCAATTTAAAAAACTAAAAAAAGAGTAGAACCAAAGAAAGAAGAGGAAATAATAAAAATGAAAATAGAACTAGAAAATAATCAGCAGTGGCCGGGCGCGGTGGCTCACGTCTGTAATCCCAGCACTTTGGGAGGCCGAGGCAGGTGGATTACGAGGTCAGGAGTTCAAGACCAGCCTGGCCAAGATGGTGAAACCCTGTTTCTACTAAAAATGCAA